TCTTCTTCTTCTTCTTCTTCTTCTTCTTCTTCTTCTTCTTCTTCTTCTTCTTCAATGAAAAGAGACATGGTTTAACTCTAATCTCTTCGCTGAGATGCTCTATGAAAAGACAATTCTATTATTATCTTTCTTTTTCTGTTGCCAAACTAATCAAGAGTTCATTGTAATCTTGTTGTGCCTCATCCTCTTTTGTCTTCTAAAACTTTGCAATTATCACTTCTGTGGTCGAAAACAAGCGGATTGGTGTTATCGATATTTTTAGTTAAACAAATTATGTTGGACATTGTGCGCCGCGTTTCCTAATGCTAATTTTCTTGATTGTTGTTTACGTTGTCACGTGCTGCTACTGTTGTTGCCCGAGATGTGATTGTTACTCTCATTGCTGCTGTTGTTGTTATTGTTGTTGTTGTTGGTGGTGGAGGTGATGGCGATGTCACTGTTGTTGCTGTTGTTGATATTGTTGTAGTTGTTGTTGTTTTTATTGTTGCTGTTGTTGTTGTTGTTGCTGTTGTAGTTGTTGTTGTTGTTGTTGCTTTCGTTGGTTGTGATATGTACGTTGTTACTGTGTAACTGCTGCCGCTGCTACTACTACTGTTGCTGTTGCTGTTGCTGTTGCTGTTGTTGTTTTGATTGTTTCTCTCTACTACTGCTGTCTTCAAAATTATCTTGGTTTTAATTTGCTCTGTGGGTATGCAATTGCATCGATTCTAAGGGAAGCAATTCAAACATTCCTGACATTCTAATTCTTACCAGAGTTGCACTTCTCTCCCTTGAATCCTGCAATGCACCCATCAGTACACACCCCTGTGACGATGTTGCACGGCTTGTCGTCATAGCAATGGCCGCAAGACTTGAGACACTTGTGGCCGTAACGATAGGAGGGGCACACTACACGCATCAAAAAAAGAAAAGAAACAACTATATCTATATCTATAAGCAGTGGGGAGAAGACGGGACGTCTAAGAGAACAGAAACATTGTATTTAGGGAAACTACAAGTATCATCAAATAAGGGTGTGTGTGTGTGTGGTTGGGTACTAAGGACAAAAGAGGGTCTGAAGATTTTCTCTAGACTCAAGACCAAGAACGTCGAGATGGGACAGAGAAAGAAACACACTTGATG